CGGACAGGTCGCGTGACAAGAGGTCGCGCGGCGGACGCGATAATTATCGACGCGATGACAGGCATCGCAATCGTCACTTTGATGAGCGGCGTCGCGATCATGGCGGACAGCGTCACGACAGTCGCTGGAGCGACTCGAGGCGCGGCGGCGGAGGTGGAGGCGGCGGCGGTAGCTACTCCAGCGGCGGCGGCAGTGGAGGCGGCGGTGGTAGCCGTGGCTATGACAATCGCAATCGTGGCTATGGCGGCAGCGGAGGCGGCGGCGGCGGCGGCGGTCAGCAAAACTGGATGCAGAATAATCGCCGAAGCGGCTACGATGATCGCGGCTATGGTGGTGGCGGTGGCGGCAACATGGGCGGCGGCAGCCGTGGCTATGATAATCGCAATCGTGGTTATGGTGGCAGCGGTGGTGGCGGCGGCGGCGGTGGTGGCCAACAGAATTGGATGCAAAACAATCGCAGGAGTGGCTATGATGATCGCGGCTATGGTGGCGGTGGCGGTGGCGGCGGCAGCTCGCGAGATTATCGCGATCGAGATCGCGGCGGCAATGATCGCAATCGTCTAGGCAGCAATGATCGTAATCGAGGCAGCAGCCAAAGCAGCAGCTATCGCTCCGGCGGCGGTAATCATCAACAACGGGATTTTCGGCATGGCCACCGCGACACCAAAGAAGATAGTCGCGGTGGCTATGAGCGGTCAGCTGCACAAGCGCTGCCCAAATACGGCAATAACTCGGCCCAGGTAGCCAGCTACGATCAGTACAAGTCGAGTGGAGGTCAGCAGTCCGGCTCCAAGGTAAGCAGAGAAGCACTCACGCCCATCTCCAGCAATCACTCTATATAATGTTCCTACTCTATTCTGTTTGCAGTCCGCGCTAAGTGGCAAATGGAGCACCTATGCCCAGCACCAGCAACAGCAGCAGCAGACGCATCATCAGCCGGCCGGCGTTTGGCAGCAGCAGCCGCCACAACAACAGCAGCAGCAACAATATCAGCAGCAGCAAACGCATCAGACCGCAGCAGGCCAACAGCAACAACAACAACAATATTGGAACTATAATCAGATGCAGGGTAGGTAGCAGCAACAACCACAGAAACACCTGGCAACAACTGCTTACCTATAGAAACCAACTCGCTCTGTTGTCGTGCCGCAAATAAACTTATAACTTAATATTCGATGTGGAATTCATTTATTTGCCTGGTGGTTGATGGAGCGAGTTCCGATATGAGTAGGCAGTTGGTAGTTGGGGCAACGATTGATTGATTGATTGATTAATTGATTGATTGCCTGTGTCTTGAGCAGGTTATGGCAACCAGCAGCAGCAATCCGCTTGGCAAGGCGCTGATCCACAGCAGCAGCAACAGCAATGGATGTCCTGGTGGCAGGTGAGCGAGCGACAGTCTTCCAACAACAATATATCGATAAATCGTTAATTTCTATCACATCATCGATAGCAGCAGCAGCAGCATCAGCAGGGCGCCGGCGGGGGAGCAGCGAACAATAATGTCGGTGGTGGCAGTGTGGGTGGTGCTGCGGGCGCAGCGGGCAACAATGATGGCGGTGCCACCAATCATTATTGGTCTCAATATTCATACTCTACACAGTCCAATGCGGGCGTCGACAAGAAATAGAAAAGGAAGAAGAAGCAGCTATTAATATCTCGGTGCACACTTTTTTTTTGCCGTCGCAAAACCCCATTCATTCACACACTCACACACACACAACCACAAGATGGAAACCCAACTTTAAAGTATAGTTTTTAAACATAATACAAATCAAACAAACAGAAAGCGAGCGTAAATTTAGTGTAGACAGTTTTTAAGCGTCTGGAAAGTCCAAACAAACAAACAAAAGCAACTTTAACAGCAGTTTGTCTCTCGCACTCACTC